GATCGTCACAGGGTTACACCTTCAGCCTTGGCTCTGGTTCAGTTTCTTGGCGTTCTACACGCTCGTCTTCTGTTCTCAGCTCCAGTTGTGAGGCTGAGATCTACGCCACAGCCATGGCTGCACTGGAGTTACGCTGGCTTACCTACCTGCTGACCGACTTGGGAGAGCGGCCTCGTTCTCCTCCAGTTGCGTACGTCGACAACAAGGCCGCCATTGCCTTGTGTCAGGAGCACAGATTGGAGCACAGAACGAAGCACATCGCTCTGCGTTACTTCCTGGCTCGAGAGTTGCAGCAGCGGGGTCAGCTTCGTCTTGCTCACGTGGCCACTCGGGCCAACACTGCTGATATATTCACCAAGGCACTTCTGTCTGGTGATCATCAGCGCTTTTGTACTTTGTTAGGTCTTGTGCCTACGTTTCCACACTTGCTGTGGACTTTGTTTGTACTGTGATCTCTATATATATACCTGCATGCTTGCTTTTGCTAGGTAGTGATCACTGTGCTGTTGTTGTTGAGTATATATCTCTGCATGTGAACTGGCCTTGTGGCCCTTTGCTTGTGCTCAGAGTCTGTGGTGACGTTGTGATCCACCCTGAGCTCGCTTTGCTTCTCTTAACTGGTCCTGTGACCCCTTGTTCTCCCCCACTTTGCCTATAGGGGTGTGTCAAATTATATGCCTGTGTCATAATGAAATGTAGGCTTTAGTAGGGTAGCTAATGTAGGGTATAGGTTTTGTTACTTGTACCCAACTTTCTCGATAGTGCAACCATCCCTACCAACCTACTCTAACATATACCTGTAGGAGTTGCTACAGGAGGCGAAAATCCCAACTTCGCCCACCTTTCGCCTGCACTGCGACAACCAGAGCGCGATCAAGATTGTGAACAAGCCTGGGTTCGTGAACCGCACAAAGCACTTTTTCGTCCAGGGCAAGGTTGACCAAGCACTGAGATGGCAGCCGACTTCCTCACCAAGCGCCTGCCACGTCAGCGGTTCAAGCACTACTCTGACCTCACCGGAGTGGTCAAGCGAGTCAGCACCCTTCGCGTCCAGGAATGAAGGGGAGTGTTACGATATGAAGTTTATGAGAAGGCATTCATGTATGCTGCAGGAGCCGACTCTACCGAGTACGAAGACGAGGAGTCAGAAGAGTCGACGCGATAGGGCAACCGTCTGATCAAGACCGATGCAGGCAGAAACATTTGAAATGAAAAGAGCGGGAACAGGTTTGAAACTGGTTCCCGCGCCGCACGGTTTGAATTTCGCTGCAATAAGGGAATGCACCCTTTATAGTACATGGCTAGTCTAGGTTCATTCGCATTTCTTTGTATTTCTATATAAACCATATGCATGCATGCTATTATCAATCTCAGTCATTTACATTCACTCTGACCTGAGTTCACTACTTCCGCTGCGACACTACCTGCGATCAACCCTGAACGATCCTTTCGCTAAGTCACACTTCAGATTGCAACAACATGCTTGCATTTGCATGGTTTAATTATCTCAAAGCATTTTACATTCACTCTGTTTTGAGGTCAAGGGCCCACCACTACCAATCAACTGTGTGCGAACCTTCCCGAGGTGTTCCTAGGGTCGATCAACATCTGATCACAGCATTATGCACAAAGTTCAGTTACCGGTATAGTCTATGGATAGCTGTTGTTTATTAGTTATATAAATTAAGCAGGTGGAATAATTAGGAATTAATCCTTGTTATTTGTTTGTTTTTCGGATGTTCCGCACCCGTTATCATTTATAATTTGCAGCCTCCAAATCCGCGAACCCTCGCCTCGGCATGCCAATTGGCATGTTGTGTGCGGTGCGTGTACACAGGTTGTAACTTGTGCTTGGAGTTTGGTTGGAATCGCATTCGCTTGCAGCCGAGCCGCGTGTCCCAAACGGAAGACAGCACAGTAATTTTTGGAAGGCGGGAGAGGCTGTAAGGCCAATTCACAGAACGCTACGGCGAAGAGGTGCTGACGAATAGCCATCGTTGCGAAAAGCCATTGCTGCGAAAGGCCATCGATGCGAACAGCCATCGCTGCGAAGAGCCATCGCCGCGAATAGTTATCGCAACGAAAAGCCATTGTTGCGAGAAGCCTGTGTCGCGAGCACCCCTAAAGCACCAGCTACCAACCACAACAGCCATTCGACTGCACCGAGTATTTTCTATCCGTTAAGCCGCCATCCTCGTCCCTCTGCTGACCAGTATAGGTTTGTGATAACACCCAGCGCGTGACCAGATCCTTGTGCACGACAGGCGAACATCATAGCTAAAGCGCCTGACCGCCAATCCCTCCGACAATAGTGCACCATCGTGTGAGGTAGGAATGGGTACTATTCGACAACCCGCAAAGCTCACAGTGGTCGTTTCGTTTGCTCTCGTGGCTGCCATTCTCGCGACGCCAGCAGCGGCTCACAACTTCTGCTTCTACGAGTGCTCCGTCTTCGCCAACGCGCCCTCAGACTGTCTTCGCACGTGGTACATCTACAGCGAAACGGACTTCTGCGACTCCGATCACAAATTCGACAGCGTGTTGCGAGTCACAGACCTCGACGGGTTACCGTCTTTCGCTAACTCCTCAGCGTGCGAGGGACTGAGCAGCGCGCAGGTGTACGGCCAACTGACGAACACCACGCAGCACGGAAATGGAACCTTGGAGGTGCTCGGCGAGAAGGACTATAACGAGGCAGCGTACGACGAGTACGTGGGGTGGATGGGCGCGGGGCGCGAGCAGTCCAAGTGCATCAAGTGGTCGCCCGCCGCCGAGACGTACGGCAGCTGGGTGAGCGACGACGCGGGCGTGCCGGTGTACCTGAGCTGCTGGGAGCGCGTCTCGTGCTCCAACGCCTTCGGCTTCGACGTCTCCGCCGCTGACGGCGACGCCGCGCCCCCGCAGTCACAACGGAAAATGCTGCGTGGACGAGGAAAATCGGACGGCAAGACTGGCGCCGGGTAGACGCGCCGTGGCCCGAGATCGGAGTAAGGGAGGCAGGATAACATGCGGTGGGCGCAGGAGTGCCTTCCGCGCCAGCTGGCATTCACGCCGCGAGGACTCGCCTGGGTGCTGGCCAGGTGAAGGCTCGGGGCGAGTACGCAACGTGGAGTGCACACATGGACTACGCCTGGGCTGGATCAGGCGTCGCTATTGTCAAATAGTTTATGAATAGTCTGTAGCATAATAAAGCATGGTTTGATAAGAGAGTTTATAATAATTTGTTCTTGCTTTGCGCTGGCTGTTGTAACGAGTACAATGGCTGATTGTTGTATGCTCCACGGAAAAAAATCTCAAATTTCTGCAGCAGGCTGGGCAGAACGAGCATGGCAAGTTCTTTGAATGATTTGGATTATAAAAATAAAAAGAAATGCTTACAGAATACCGGGACCACTTCGACAACCTGCATCGAGTTGGGCACACTTCACGGGACTAACACAGACTTGCGGATCAGTTGGATACGCTGTACATGAAGGCCTGATCTGTGCACCACCACCATCAATACAAGTTCAATTCCCACCAGTGCACTGTCCCTCTCCAATGCACGGCAGCCCAGGTGAGCACAAGCGTGCTTGGTTCTTCTAGAAGTATGTTTCTAAGACGGTTGGTTGCACGCAGGCACTTGACGGTATGAAGAGGCAGCGCAGCAGACGGCCACACCCAGGCACCTTCAAGTTGAGAGAGCTTGGGACAGGCAGGGTGGGCAAGACATGGTGGTGTTGACAAGGCAAGTGAGTGGCGTCCCCAGCAGCCCCGTTGACCGCGGCATGGGTAGGGTATCATGCTGGGCGTGGTTGAGAGGCGCGTGGTGAGCGAGCTGGCAGGTGAGCGGTGGGCATGCGCGGGAAGTCAGGCGCCACCTCCATGTGCTGCTCCGGCTGCCCCCCCCATGCCATGCCATGCCATGCCATGCCATGCCATGCCATGCCATGCCATGCCATGCCATGCCATGCCATGCCATGCCATGCCATGCCATGCCACGCCACGCCATGCCATGCCATGCCATGCCATGCCATGCCACGCCATGCCATGCCATGCCATGCCATGCCGTGGTGTGGTGTGGCCAGTGAGAGCGAAGGGAACGAGGGGAACGAGGGACGTGAAGGGAGCGATGGGAGGGGGGCAGGAAGGGGAGGGAAGGAAGTGGGAGGGAAGGAAGTGGGAGGGAGGGAAGTGGGAAGGAGGGAAGTGGGAGGGTGGGAAGTGGGAGGGTGGGAAGTGGGAGGGTGGGAAGTGGGAGGGTGGGAAGTGGGAGGGTGGGAAGTGGGAGGGTGGGAAGTGGGAGGGTGGGAATTGGGGGAGCGAGGGGAGTACCTGCAGGAGGGCGAGGGGAGTACCTGCAGGAGGGCGAGGAGGGCGGCGAGCAGTGAGTTGAGCAGCACGACGAGGCAGAAGACCTTGCCCGCCACCACCCCACACGCGTAGTACCTGCCATGTGCGCGCGTGACAGGCATGCACCATGGGATGGGCGCTGTCAGGTGGCATCCAGTCAGGCACGTGTGTGAGAGGCACAGCACAGACAGTGGCGTCCTCTCACGTCACAGCAAGGCAGCGAGGGGTGTAGGGGCACCTGGAGAGGCGGGGGGGCACCTGGAGAGGCGGGGGGGCACCTGGAGAGGCGGGGGGGCACCTGGAGAGGCGGCGGGGCAGGTCGTCGAGCGGCATGGCCATGACGCGGTCGTACACGCGCTCCGTGCGCTCCGCCACGTCGTGCCAGCTGTACATGCGCGACACCTGCCGCCCATGCCATGCACGCGGGGCACGCGGTGCAAACAGGGGATGCGTGTGGCGGGGCGCAGTGGGGTGGGGGCCATGGCAGGTGCATGAGGGAAGGTCGTTGGGGGGGAAGGGAAGAGCATGTGGCAAGGTGTGGTGGTGGCATGACGTGAGCAGAGAGTGGTTCCACGGGGACAGCGCAGTGTGGCGGTGCAGCGCAGTGTGGCGGTGCAGCGCAGTGTGGCGGTGCAGCGCAGTGTGGCGGTGCAGCGCAGTGACCCTCATCACACACAGCGCGGCGAGCAACGCTCTGAGGACACACACACCCGCTCGTGCATGGCCTGCGGGTTGACACGTGGCACGATCTGAATGGCCTGGGCGATGGCGTGGACGATGTCAGGCGGGTTGGGGTCCGCCAGCAGCATCATGTCCGGGGGCAGCACCTGGGGGGCCATGGGGGGCGTGGGGGCGGGGGAATGGGGGGAATGAGGAGGGCACGTGGTGAGACGCAGGTGTGGAAGGAGTGGGAGGGACATGCATGTGAGGGAGCAAAGCGAGGAGAATGTGGGAGGGAGGGAGGGCAAAGGGAGGGAGGGCAGTGAGCAAGGAGAAAGCGCAAGGGTGGGCATGTCAGAGGAGGCGGAGCATAAGAGAGAAGCAGTGGGGTGTAAAAGGCAAGGCGTGACGGCACTCTTTCTCCTTGCAGGCTGCTCACACACACAAGGACTCACGTCACCCTTGCCTCCCCTCCCCTCCCCTCCCCTCCCCTCCCCTCCCCTCCCCTCCCCTCCCCTGCCCTCCCCTGCCCTCCCCTCGCCTGACCTCGGGCACGCCGCCAACACGAGTGGCGACAACGAAGAGGCCACAGCAGGCGGCCTCCAGGATGGCGATGCAGAACGCCTCCGTCAGCGAGCTGGGGGGGGGGGAGAGAGATTTGGGGCGAGATGTGAGGCGCACGAGAGGGGAGAAGAGTGGTGAGCAAGAGGAACCCGTGGAGAGCAAGGTGAGGGACGCAGCACGATGGGCGTCGGCGAGCACGAGTAGTGTGCATGCAGACAGTGTGACGTGGCGTGACAGACAATGCAACAGCGTGGGGGAGGGGAGGGGAGGAGAGGGAGGGGAGGGGAGGGGAGGGAGAGGGGAGGGGAGGGAGAGGGCGAAGAGAGGAAGGGGGAGGAGAGAGGAGGGAGCGGCGGGCACCTGTTGAGGAAGATGTGGCCCTGGATGAGCACGTCGCGCACTTGGGAGTGCGGCACGGCGCCCAGCATGGTGACGCGGTGGTGCAGCCCGTGGCGGTCCCTCATCTCCTCCAACCGCCCCCTCTTGGCGCCGTCCCCGCCTATTATCCACCGCACCTGGTGGGTGATGCATGGCGCACGTATGCACACACACACAGACACAGGCGCACACACACACACACAGACACAGGCGCACACACGCACGCACGCACGCACGCACACACACACACATGAACATGCACATGCAAATACACGTAAGCACGCACGCACGCACGCACGAATGAATGCACGCACACGCACACGCACACGCACACACACGCACACACACGCGCACGCACACGCACGCACGTGCACACACATGCACACGCACACGCACGCACATGCACGCGCATGCACACGCACACACACACACACACACGCACACACACACACACACACACACGCACACGCACACACACGCACACGCACGCATACGTACACGCACGCACACGCACGCACACGCACGCACATGCACACACATGCACACGCACACGCACGCACATGCACGCGCATGCACACGCACACGCACACACACACACACACACGCACACACACGCACACACACGCACACACACGCACACACACGCACACACAAGCACACACATGCGCGCGCACAGACACCACGGACACATGGTTGCACACACACAGAGACATACAGTGCAGTGCATGTTAAAAGATAAGATGCTAGAGCAGAGTGAGTACATGTGAATGGGCCATCATGCGCACAGGTGAGAAGCAGCGTGGCAAGCAGCAGGCACGCCTGGCCACCATGAGCAGCAGCGGGTACACACACGCAGTGGCACCTTGGGGAAGCGGTGGCAGACGGCGGGGATGACATCAACGAGCAGGTCAGCGCCCTTGCGGTACACGAGGCGACTGATCACCACTATCACCACCTCCATCTCCGCCCCCTCCCCCTCCCCTCTCGCCTGCACGCCACTCCCCGTGCTGCCTGCCACGTGCCGCCCTGCCTCCACCGCCATGCTGCTGTGCCCTCCTGCTCCTGCCGCCCCCTCCCTCCCCGCCACCTCACTCGCTGCCAGGTGTGGTGTGGATGGCACTGTGCTTGCTGCTGCTGCTGCAGCCTCCGCCACTTGTCTGCCGCTCGCCACTGCCCTTGCCCGGCCCTCCATGTCTGCCTCTTCCTCTCTCCCCCGAGCCCCCACTGCCTCTCTGCGGCCCACTGCCCCCTCTGCCCCGCCCTCTGCTCCCGATGCCACCTCACCGCGTGCAGCCCTGCACGCCACGCCAGCGCGCCCATGCTCTGCACCGCCGCTCTTCTCACCACCACCTTCTCCATCCCCCCCTGCCGCTCCCCCTCCTCTCTCACTGCGCACACCACCGCTTGCACCAGCAACCGCTTCCCCGGCAGCAGCGGCGGCAGGCGGGGGCGTGGAGCAGCGGTGGGGGTCGGGGAGGAAGTTGCTGGCGTCGACGGCGTTGGGGATGACGGCCACGCGGTGGGGCGGCAAGGAGGGCTTGGTGCGCAGCACGGTGTTCTCCTTGCTGGTGTGCGACACACAGATGGCCGCGTGGATGCCCGCCGTCGAGAACTGCAGCAGCTGTGGGCACAGGCAGGGTGGGAGGAGCGAGAGGAAGTGGGAGGCAGAAGCGGAGCGCACTGGCTGCAATACGAGCAGAGCAGGGCGCAGCTGCAGCCGCCACCACGCTGCTGCTGCAGCACACGCCATGCCTCCTCGTGCATCTCACCACCCACCCACCCACCCACCATGCACTTCTTCCCCTCCAACCCCCTATTTGGCACCTTGTTCATGTGGATGCTGGCAGCGTCAGCGAAGCCACACAGCGAGTGGTCGGTGAAGACAGCACGGCGGCCCAGCGTGGGGGCGTGCAGGAGGGCATCGTGGCACATGGGGGCGAAGCTCTGGTGCGCATGCACGATGGCAATGCGCTCGCGCTCCACTATCGCGCGGAACAGAGGTAGCGACAGACAGGGGAGCGGCGAGGGGGGCGTGGCCTGCAGTGAGGTGGAGGGGGGTGGTGGGCGGAAGGAGCGGTTGGGAGAAGGGCGTGGAATGGGATGTGATTACCGCCCTTGTACAGAGTGCCGTGCAGGAGAGGCGTGCAATCGGGACGGAAGGAGCGGTTGGGAGGCAGTAAGTAAGCGAATGGCGCGACCTGGTGGATAGGCGAATGGTGGAAGGCTAAGGGGCATGCGTGTCAACTCACTCATGTGCCCGCAAGCCTGACTCTCACCTGCAGCCACACGCCTCTCACCTGCAGCCACACGCCTCTCACCTGCAGCCACACGCCTCTCACCTGCAGCCACACGCCTCTCACCTGCAGCCACACGCCTCTCACCTGCAGCCAGACGGGGCGGCGCGGCGCGTAGTAGACCTTGAGGCCGTTGGTGAGGTAGCGCACGCCCACGCGGTCGCCGTACTCGTGAGTCAGCACCACCACCTGCGGCACGGCACGGCAGGGAGGGGTTGAAGCGTGAGGCTCAACGCGGGCACGGCTGTGACTCCGACGAGCAAAGGTCATTCACTTGGCGTGGCGGCATTGGGACCCCATGCGCGCGGGCGTGACGTCACCTTGTGGCGGCGCTACATGCGGGCGTGGCGTCACCTTGTGGCCGCGCTACAGGCGGGCGTGACGTCACCTTGTGGCCGCGCTACAGGCGGGCGTGACGTCACCTTGTGGCCGCGCTGCAGCAGGCACTGCGCGAGCAGGTAGATGTGGCTCTCCACGCCGCCGAAGTTGGGGAAGAAGAAGTCGCACACCATCAGCACGCGATGTCGCCTGCGACCGCTCGCGACATTAGGATCGTCGTCAGAGAGTAAAGGCGCGCTGCTATCGCTTACGGGGCTGCTCTCCGCCATTCGCCTTCGCGACTACTTCCGCCTACGTCTCGCGCGCGACTAGTTTCGCCTGCGACTCGCGCGCGACTAGTTTCGCCTGCGACTCGCGCGCGACTAGTTTCGCCTGAGACTCGCGCGCGACGAGTTTCGCCTGCGACTTGCGCGCGACTATTTCCGCCTACGACTCCCGCGCGACTAGTTTCGCCTACGACTCCCGCGCGACTAGCTTCGCCTACGACCTGAGGGTGTTTGCCCTGGGCGCAGCCAGCAATCGCGGAAAGGTCGGTAGCTAGGGGTCGCGCTGGAGGGTATTGCGAGCGACGAACGTCGTCAAGCCTACGTCGCAACGAAGCAGGAGGTTCGGAAAAAACTAGGTTTGCTTGCACTGACCGTTTGGCAGCTAATGATAGTTTGTCTTTTCTCACCTCAAAAGTGTAGAGGATTTTACTGTAAATTTAGAGCTACTATTGAGGAAGGAGCTCTCCAAGCTCAGCCAATGTGGTGCCACGCAGACTGCAAGATTTTCGCTGCTGGAACGTTTCCCACCAGAATCTCAACCAATCATGGCCCACGCACGAGTCAGCATACGAGCCGCCATGAATTCACAGCTCCTTCCAGGCCCCCAGTGACGTAACGACAATGCCCGAGGAGGGCTGGAGCGCAAGGAGCTGCTCCTAAGGGCGATGTCAGGTTATACATTTCTCATGGGTTTACAGTTCTTGAATTGTGGTTCAACATGTTCCAACACGGTAGAAAGCGGTTCGCGACATTTACCGCTCTGCACCGTGTTGAAACAAAGTAAACCGCAGTGGCCGTACAAAATGTTGAACAACCTGACATCGCCTGAAGGAGCGTGAGGAGAATTCACTCACAGAGGGAGGAGCAATCCAGGTTCGATGATCGGCTCGAGTGCCAAGCCGTCAGCAGCCAACCGGAGAGCATTCAGCAGGGAGGAAGCTCGAGTGCTTTCGGCATTCTCAAGGCTCCACCGCAGCGAGCTTCCAACAACCCATGGCGTGCTGGCGCGCCCAAGCATGGAGCACCGCACCACCCTCTTTCAGGCCGCAACAGCCCGGCAGCTTGCTTGCTTGTGCGACCGTTATAACCCGCCATTCTTGCTCAGAGCGTTGTGATCGCAACCCAAGCGCACCCAACACGCACTCAGCGGACCGTCGGAGCCCGAGAGGCTCTCCGTCCCCTCCACCGCACACGCTCACCGCCGCACGGCTGAGAGGCGCACACACCGCGTCACCTCCTTGACTCGCATCGCACTCTTCTTGCCGCGCATCCCGCTTTGCGATGGAGCTCTCTCAGGCCTCAGGCGCCGCCACCTGCACCGCCGTCGTGGTGACGTCAGCGCTCGTCGCCGCAGGAGTCGCCGCGTTCTCCAGCGGAGCGCTCTCGCGCACCGCGGCAGTCGTGACTGCGGGCGGCGCGGGGAAGGAGGCTACTGATTCCCGGTCCGACGCGGGTTCGTTGAAAGCGTGCAAGGCGATGGAGGGCGTGGTGGCGTGGCTGCCAGCGGAGATCGCCACGTCGCTCGACGACTTCCCCTTCTTCCTCAAGTCTGCCGCTTTGCCCTCGTTAAAATCGTGTTTGATTAATCTGCAAGTCAACGCGTCGAATCTGACTCACGTTCGTTTGTCACCTCGCAGCAAGAAGACGCGCGAGCTGCTCACCGCGTCGGCCGGGAGAACGTTCATTCGCGAGGGCGCGTCGAAGCGGTCCCACTCCATCACCGTGCGAGGCCCCGAAGGTAGTACCCCCCGCATCGCATCTCGCCGCGGATCGGATCGGAGTCTTTTCTGTGCTCGTCGTGTGCTCGTCGTTTCGTGCGCGTGACTGACGAGCGGCGGGTGTGCGGTGCGGTGCGGTGCGGGGTGCAGGGTCGGTGCGGTACGCGGCGGAGCTGTGCAAGGGGCTGGCCAAGAGGTTCGACGCCGCGCTCTTCCTCCTCGACGCCTCCTTCGTGCACCTGCTCTCGCAGGTACGAGCTCGGATCTTTCTTGCCGCGCCGTTGTATCCGTCAAGGCTTCTCCTTACTCACGACGTGGCAAAGCCGGTCGTCCCTATGTGGGCAGCAGAGGTCGTACTGGCGGGGTGCGTCGAGCAGCCGCAGCAAGCCCGCCATCTGGACTGGAGGTGAGCATCCCGCGGCTTCATCCCCTTCTGGGTGGTCCGCACACTGGTTTGGCTTCCACGTGCTGGGACATCTCTCCCTGCTTCACGCTCACGCTCACATGGACTCTCGTCCTTGGTGGCATGGCAGGGTCGGGCTTCGCCTACTTCACGGAGAAAGGGGATGCAGCTGCCACGCTGCAGGTGAGCTACGACGCACCTCGTCTGGCCTTGAATGCCCATCTGCTCCACCTGTTACGAAAGAGAAATGATTCTGAACGTCTCGTTGGTTTGTTCTTCCGCAGGCCATCTCGAGGACCGCTCGTGCGCGGCCAGTGGTCTGCCTGGTGGCGAGCGCGGATGGCTGTGCGGCAGCGGTGGCGCAGACCCTGGCGAAGCGGGTGGAGGGCCCCCATGGCGTGCTCGTCATTGCCTCCTGCACCGCCGCCTGCGAGGTCAGCCCAGCCCAGCACATTTGCCTACCTGCTCTCCACCTGATTCGCTTAGCCATTTTTCTTGTTGATGGATATCCGTGGCAACCGGCCTTACCACCATGCATGCATGTTGATGTGCACAGGACGTGCATGCAGCATCTTACTCGGATGTGGAAGTGCGTGCTCCCAAGGTACGCCAGCAAGCCTGCTGAGTGATTTCTCCATGGTCAGGCTGACAGTGTCTCAGAGGGTGCTGATGAGTGAGTGAGTTGTGATGCGTGCAGGAGAGTGAGAAGGTGCGGGCGTGGGAGGCGATGCTTAAGGAGCAGAGTCACTACATGGTGTGCGAGCGGAACCTGCAGGCCATCTTCCTGGTGCGTGCGGGTATTGAATATTAGCTTTCACATCCGCAGCATCCTTCACAAGTAATCTCACGTTTTTCATTCGTTTCGGCGTGCAGGCGCTCAAGGCGCGCAAGGTGACGTGGGATGAGGACGTTGCTGATGCGCGGTTCAACTTCACCGCCGCCCTCACTGCCCATGGTACGCTGCGCTGCTCCCTGTCATGTGCACGCAGAGGATCCACTTAGCCCAGTCAAAAGATTTTCTAATCGGTTGTGTGTGGTGCGTGGGCGTGCAGAGGTGCAGGACATCATCAACATGGCCCTGTCGGAGCAGATGCTTGCCGGCCGCACCAACGCACAGCTGCACGTCACACGCGACAGGTGCGTTGCTCTCTCTTCACGCCTTTACGCTGCTCATCTGTGGCCACGGCAGCACACTCGACAGCGTGTGACATTGTGCGTGCAGGCTGGAGTACTCGCTGAGTCTCTTCTTTGACGAGGATGGTGCGTGCCATGAGAAGACCGCCGTCACCAACGGCCAGGTCAGATCTTCAATCCTTGCGCACATGCACATGTACGTTTGCACTCAGTCATTCCTTACGATGTTGTATTGATTCAAGCTGGCTCATCATGTGTGTGTTGGAGCAGGTGGGGCAGGGCAAGGAGGCAGTGGCGGTGCACAAGGCGGTGCTGCGTGTGGGCATCCCCAAGGGCGACGAGGGCGGGGGCTCCAAGGTGGGCACGCCCAGGGGCGACGCCGTGAAGACGCCCAGGGCAGCGGAGGCACTCGCTGCCAAGGTCGCCTCTCCCAAGGTGGCCACGCCTAAGAAGCCGGCTCCGGCCCCTGCCCCGGCAGCAGCCTCTGTAAGGCCACAACTATCCCGCTCTGCATCATGCTCCCAGCTCCTGCTTCCAAACTCGCATGTTGTTGCTAAACTGATCTGGTGGTGTGTTGGAACATATGTGCTGTGCTGTGCCGTGCAGGACGACAATGACTTTGAGAAGCGCATTCGCCCGGAGATTCTGGCGCCGGGCAGCATTGGCGTGACGTTTGAGTCCATCGGCGCGCTGGAGAGCGTCAAGGAGTCGCTGCGAGAGCTGGTGCTCGTGCCACTCAAGCACCCCGACATCTTCAACAAGGGCGGCCTGCTGCAGGTGAGATCTTCAACAAGGGCGGCCTGCTGCAGGTGACCGCGCACTCTGCTGTCTACTTCATTTGCTCCTTCTATCCTCACTTTGAACGCCACTGACGCGCGCTGCTTGCTGGTGGCAGGCGTGCAAGGGCATTCTGCTGTTCGGCCCGCCGGGCACGGGCAAGACGATGCTGGCCAAGGCAGTGGCCACGGAGTGTGGGGCGAGCTTCATCAACGTGTCCATGGCCACCATCACCTCCAAGGTGAGCTTCATCAACGTGTCCATGGCCTCCATCACCTCCAAGGTGAGCTTCATCAACGTGTCCATGGCCACCATCACCTCCAAGGTGAGCTTCATCAACGTGTCCATGGCCACCATCACCTCCAAGGTGAGCTTCATCAACGTGTCCATGGCCACCATCACCTCCAAGGTGAGCTTCATCAACGTGTCCATGGCCACCATCACCTCCAAGGTGAGCTTCATCAACGTGTCCATGGCCACCATCACCTCCAAGGTGAGCTTCATCAACGTGTCCATGGCCACCATCACCTCCAAGGTGAGCTTCATCAACGTGTCCATGGCCACCATCACCTCCAAGGTGAGCTTCATCAACGTGTCCATGGCCACCATCACCTCCAAGGTGAGCTTCATCAACGTGTCCATGGCCACCATCACCTCCAAGGTGAGCTTCATCAACGTGTCCATGGCCACCATCACCTCCAAGGTGAGCTTCATCAACGTGTCCATGGCCTCCATCACCTCCAAGGTGAGCTTCATCAACGTGTCCATGGCCACCATCACCTCCAAGGTGAGCTTCATCAACGTGTCCATGGCCACCATCACCTCCAAGGTGAGCTTCATCAACGTGTCCATGGCCACCATCACCTCCAAGGTGAGCTTCATCAACGTGTCCATGGCCACCATCACCTCCAAGGTGAGCTTCATCAACGTGTCCATGGCCTCCATCACCTCCAAGGTGAGCTTCATCAACGTGTCCATGGCCACCATCACCTCCAAGGTGAGCTTCATCAACGTGTCCATGGCCACCATCACCTCCAAGGTGAGCTTCATCAACGTGTCCATGGCCACCATCACCTCCAAGGTGAGCTTCATCAACGTGTCCATGGCCACCATCACCTCCAAGGTGAGCTTCATCAACGTGTCCATGGCCACCATCACCTCCAAGGTGAGCTTCATCAACGTGTCCATGGCCACCATCACCTCCAAGGTGAGCTTCATCAACGTGTCCATGGCCACCATCACCTCCAAGGTGAGCTTCATCAACGTGTCCATGGCCACCATCACCTCCAAGGTGAGCTTCATCAACGTGTCCATGGCCACCATCACCTCCAAGGTGAGCTTCATCAACGTGTCCATGGCCACCATCACCTCCAAGGTGAGCTTCATCAACGTGTCCATGGCCACCATCACCTCCAAGGTGAGCTTCATCAACGTGTCCATGGCCACCATCACCTCCAAGGTGAGCTTCATCAACGTGTCCATGGCCACCATCACCTCCAAGGTGAGCTTCATCAACGTGTCCATGGCCACCATCACCTCCAAGGTGAGCTTCATCAACGTGTCCATGGCCACCATCACCTCCAAGGTGAGCTTCATCAACGTGTCCATGGCCACCATCACCTCCAAGGTGAGCTTCATCAACGTGTCCATGGCCACCATCACCTCCAAGGTGAGCTTCATCAACGTGTCCATGGCCACCATCACCTCCAAGGTGAGCTTCATCAACGTGTCCATGGCCACCATCACCTCCAAGGTGAGCTTCATCAACGTGTCCATGGCCACCATCACCTCCAAGGTGAGCTTCATCAACGTGTCCATGGCCACCATCACCTCCAAGGTGAGCTTCATCAACGTGTCCATGGCCACCATCACCTCCAAGGTGAGCTTCATCAACGTGTCCATGGCCTCCATCACCTCCAAGGTGAGCTTCATCAACGTGTCCATGGCCACCATCACCTCCAAGGTGAGCTTCATCAACGTGTCCATGGCCACCATCACCTCCAAGGTGAGCTTCATCAACGTGTCCATGGCCACCATCACCTCCAAGGTGAGCTTCATCAACGTGTCCATGGCCACCATCACCTCCAAGGTGAGCTTCATCAACGTGTCCATGGCCTCCATCACCTCCAAGGTGAGCTTCATCAACGTGTCCATGGCCACCATCACCTCCAAGGTGAGCTTCATCAACGTGTCCATGGCCACCATCACCTCCAAGGTGAGCTTCATCAACGTGTCCATGGCCACCATCACCTCCAAGGTGAGCTTCATCAACGTGTCCATGGCCACCATCACCTCCAAGGTGAGCTTCATCAACGTGTCCATGGCCACCATCACCTCCAAGGTGAGCTTCATCAACGTGTCCATGGCCACCATCACCTCCAAGGTGAGCTTCATCAACGTGTCCATGGCCACCATCACCTCCAAGGTGAGCTTCATCAACGTGTCCATGGCCACCATCACCTCCAAGGTGAGCTTCATCAACGTGTCCATGGCCACCATCACCTCCAAGGTGAGCTTCATCAACGTGTCCATGGCTACCATCACCTCCAAGGTGAGCTTCATCAACGTGTCCATGGCCACCATCACCTCCAAGGTGAGCTTCATCAACGTGTCCATGGCCACCATCACCTCCAAGGTGAGCTTCATCAACGTGTCCATGGCCACCATCACCTCCAAGGTGAGCTTCATCAACGTGTCCATGGCCACCATCACCTCCAAGGTGAGCTTCATCAACGTGTCCATGGCCACCATCACCTCCAAGGTGAGCTTCATCAACGTGTCCATGGCCTCCATCACCTCCAAGGTGAGCTTCATCAACGTGTCCATGGCCACCATCACCTCCAAGGTGAGCTTCATCAACGTGTCCATGGCCACCATCACCTCCAAGGTGAGCTTCATCAACGTGTCCATGGCCACCATCACCTCCAAGGTGAGCTTCATCAACGTGTCCATGGCCACCATCACCTCCAAGGTGAGCTTCATCAACGTGTCCATGGCCTCCATCACCTCCAAGGTGAGCTTCATCAACGTGTCCATGGCCACCATCACCTCCAAGGTGAGCTTCATCAACGTGTCCATGGCCACCATCACCTCCAAGGTGAGCTTCATCAACGTGTCCATGGCCACCATCACCTCCAAGGTGAGCTTCATCAACGTGTCCATGGCCACCATCACCTCCAAGGTGAGCTTCATCAACGTGTCCATGGCCACCATCACCTCCAAGGTGAGCTTCATCAACGTGTCCATGGCCACCATCACCTCCAAGGTGAGCTTCATCAACGTGTCCATGGCCACCATCACCTCCAAGGTGAGCTTCATCAACGTGTCCATGGCCACCATCACCTCCAAGGTGAGCTTCATCAACGTGTCCATGGCCACCATCACCTCCAAGGTGAGCTTCATCAACGTGTCCATGGCTACCATCACCTCCAAGGTGAGCTTCATCAACGTGTCCATGGCCACCATCACCTCCAAGGTGAGCTTCATCAACGTGTCCATGGCCACCATCACCTCCAAGGTGAGCTTCATCAACGTGTCCATGGCCACCATCACCTCCAAGGTGAGCTTCATCAACGTGTCCATGGCCACCATCACCTCCAAGGTGAGCTTCATCAACGTGTCCATGGCCACCATCACCTCCAAGGTGAGCTTCATCAACGTGTCCATGGCCACCATCACCTCCAAGGTGAGCTTCATCAACGTGTCCATGGCCACCATCACCTCCAAGGTGAGCTTCATCAACGTGTCCATGGCCACCATCACCTCCAAGGTGAGCTTCATCAACGTGTCCATGGCCACCATCACCTCCAAGGTGAGCTTCATCAACGTGTCCATGGCCACCATCACCTCCAAGGTGAGCTTCATCAACGTGTCCATGGCCACCATCACCTCCAAGGTGAGCTTCATCAACGTGTCCATGGCCACCATCACCTCCAAGGTGAGCTTCATCAACGTGTCCATGGCCACCATCACCTCCAAGGTGAGCTTCATCAACGTGTCCATGGCCACCATCACCTCCAAGGTGAGCTTCATCAACGTGTCCATGGCCACCATCACCTCCAAGGTGAGCTTCATCAACGTGTCCATGGCCACCATCACCTCCAAGGTGGGCGGCTCTTACAATTTGATCTACTCAGGATTTTACTAGTTATTCGAATATTTGCGGTTCTGGTATCAATGTGTGATTGGTGCATGGCGTGCAGTGGTTTGGCGAGGATGAGAAGAACGTGAGGGCGCTGTTCACCCTGGCGGAGAAGGTGGCGCCCACCGTCATCTTCATTGACGAGGTCAGCTCCCCTCCCCTCCCACACCCTCACGCACTCGCACGCCATCAGCCCTCAACCCCCCGTTCACACCCATTAGCGTTTCAACTGACTGGGTTCATGTTCCTTTTGGTGGTTCATGGTGACCCGTTTGGCGTGCGGTGGTGGCAGGTGGACAGCATGTTGGGGCAGCGCAAGGGGGCGGGGGAGCATGAGGCGATGAGGAAGATAAAGAACGAGTTCATGACGCACTGGGACGGGCTGGCGTCCAAGGCGAGCAGCCGTGTGCTCGTGCTGGCCGCCACCAACCGCCCCTTCGACCTCGACGAGGCCATCATCCGCCGCTTCCAGCGCCGGTCAGACCACACCCCTCCCATACTCGCTCGCCCTCTTGCCTCTCATGCACATCGTTTACTCTCTGTCTATCATGTCATCCTATATTCTTCATTATGTATTTACCGCATCTCTTTGCAGCATCATGGTGGGGCTGCCGGACGCGGTCAACAGGGAGCTCATCCTGCGCTCCATCCTCAAGCACGAGCAGGTGGACGCTGACGTGGACTACCGTGAGCTCGCGCAGCTTACTGAAGGCTTCTCTGGGAGCGACCTCAAGGTGATTCTCCGTGTGTGCGTTTTTTTTTCTTCTCGGTGCTAATGCAAGAGTGCTATTTTAATGCAAGAGTGCTATTTTAATGCAAGAGTGTTATCCTGCATGGTGTTTCGCAGACTCTCTGCACCGCAGCAGCTTATGGCGTACTGAGGGAGGCTCTTGCAGCAGCAGTAAGTGTAACTCCTCACCTTTGCATCTGTTCCCTTTTTGCACTGCCTGAGCACTCATGTCTTTCCCTGCCCTCGTTTTCAGGATGGTGGTGCAAATGAGGAAGCATTGAAGCTCAGGCCACTGACGTTGGAGGACTTTCGTGAAGGCAAGAACCAGGCAAGTTGTGCCACGGATGGTATCCTCACTTGCACCCGTGATATACGGAACACGCATGGTTATTATTAACCATGCTGCTGTGTGTGTGTGCTGCAGGTCTCGGCCAGTGTGGCTGGCGAGGCGCAAAGCATGCAAGAGCTCAAGGAGTGGAACAACCTTTATGGGGAGGGTGGGAACCGCAAGAAGGCTACACTTTCCTATTTTCTGTGATTGTAAAACATTTTTTACAATAGTAACAGCTGTTTCCTACTACAGTACTGGTGCATGAGCGAAAAAGTCTTCCTGTAATGTTGGCGAACATTGCCAAATCGTACTGGTAAGGTTTGGTTTCCTGGCAAAAAAAATCTCGAGGGAATAATGTTTGAATATCTTACCTTTTGCACATCCATCTCTCCAACTTCTTTCCCGCCATACTCGCTCAATAGCTTGTGTCATCAGCAAAATTTCACAGCATTAGCTATACAGTAGCTCTCACTAGCTGGCTTCCCCATCACACATCCACGGCGATGATTAGCAACACTTGACGTCTATCAACGGTGCGTGCTTATTCCAAAGACCTTTTCCCATCCATCAACGTCTAGTCCCTTAACAGTTGGAAAATAATTATAAAGTAAATAGAAAAAACGAACGGTCTGCCATAACGATGGGCCAGCAGTCGAACGTCGCTGCGCGCATCGCGACTATCTGGCCAGACTAGGCCGCTGTCCAAGTTATATCTCATATGCTTGTTAAGCCTGTAGTAGTGAGTTACCTGTTAGGGGTACTTCACTTCTCTAGATACCCATCTTGTATCCCTCCCTTGACAATTCCCTCACTACATTCTTACATGATTAATTGTTTAAGAGGCCCACCGCTAAAATTTCTCCTGCCCAAGCGCGATTGCACTGCCCTCCCCTGCCAAAGAGCGCCGCGCTGCCCTGTTGCCCCTTTGCAGTCGCACGCTCCTTGTGCTGCCCCGCGTGCTGCTCGCGCTGCTACCTGCGCCTCGCACGCTCGCGGCCTTCTCGCGCCCCGCTCGCAGCCTTCGCGGCCTTTGCGCGCCCTCCCTGCAGTGCGCACTGCGTGCTGCCCCACGCGCCCCTACGCACTGCCAGCTACTGCGCGGGCTGCTGCCCCGGCCCCTTACGCGCATGCACCCGGCCCCTGCACGCTGCCGCTGCCGCCGCACACTCCGCTGCTGCTGCGCAAGCGCCTGTGCTGCTGGTGCTGCTGCGCTACTGCGCTGCTGCTGCTGGCCCCCGCACGCGCACCCGCTACTGCAGCTGCTGCTCGCGCTGCTGCGCCGACACTGCTGAGCTGCAGCGGCCACATGCGCTCCTGCACCCTACGCTGCCTAGCCGCGCTGCCCAGCCCGAGCCGCGCCGCCCTTCCCGAGCTGTGCCGCCCTACCCGAGCCGCGCCGCCCAGCATGTGCCGCGCTGCTTTGTAGAACCGCGCTGCCCTGCTACTTTTCTACCCACTGCTACTGCCCACTATCGCTGCGATTAATGTCCTTACCTTTGACGCAGATGGTCACCCAAATAGGTTTCGCTGTTGGCTCGAGGACCTCGAGCTGTACCTGCAAAGCAAGGCTAGTGACGCCGTCTCTCTGTTAGAGCACACGCCTGTTTCCCTCCCTGCCCCTCTTGAATCCGCTGACCGAGCCCTCCGTTCTCAGTGGCTCACAAGAGATGCTGCCACGCGCCTCGCTGTCCGTCGTGCGCTCCCGCTAGATGAGCGTGTTCACTTTAGACGCTGTAGTCGCTCGCTACTCCTCCCCCTCTACTGCTGCCCTCGGCCGACTCATGCTGCCGTATCTCTTTCCTGAGCTCACAGACTTCCACACAGTCGCTGATCTCTTCACCCACCTTCGCGCTAGTGAGACTCGCTACCCCGCCGCTCTCAAGTCGGCCTTCCTCACTGCGAACCCCCCACCGTTTTATATCACGCTGTACTTTCTCGTCACTCGCCTCCCTGACTCCCTTCGTACCATTAGGGGCCACTTTCTCACCCTTAACCCCACTGAGCTCACGCTTACCTCGCTGGAGAAGTACATTCTCGAGGCTGAGACCAGTATTGCGGCTGTCGCTGTCGCTCGTTGCACTCCCCACTCTTCCTTCTTTGAAGGGTGTGCTCCCTCCCCTCTCACACCCTCAGTTGCCTCTGCTGCTGCTGTTGACTTCCTTGGTGCTGAGGAGGTCGGCGCTGCGTCTGCTCCTAGTGGGAAGCGCCACATCGGCAACGATAGAGGGGGTAAGGGTGGTGGGAATAGCACTAGTGGGGGTGGTAGCGGGGGTGGTGGTGGTGGTGGTGGAGGCGGGGGTGGAGGGGGTGGTGGTGGTGGCAGCGGTGGAGGTGGCGGGGGTGGCAGAGGAGGTGGGGTGGGTGGAGGGGGCTCGGGTGGTGGTCGAGGTGGAGCTGGCAGGGGTGGAGGCTACGGGAATTCAACTAGTGGCAGCGGAGGCTTTGGGGGTGCGCAACAGCAGCTGCCGTGTCTCCCGGACACACCCACACCTCAGCAGCTTCGTGAGTGGGTTGTCCAATGTAATTCCCCTGCGTGTCCTGTTCGTTGCCCGTACATCCGGAAGACAGGTCTCAAGAAGGGTGAGGCCTGCGGGAAGACTGGGCATACTGAGTACCGGTGCTTCTTCCATCTTGAGGATGCCTGGCGCGCTGAGTATGGTGATGAGTAGGAGATCCCGAACTGGCTGGGATTGCTAGCAAGGGGAGTGTGCTCTAGACTTTGCTCAAATCAACAAGGGACTTTATGCTATAAGTGCTGAGGTGCCTGTTACTCGTGTGTGCCTTGCGCTGCTGGTGTCCAGGCTACAGCTCTAGGTGCTAGTGAATCTGCAGCTGCACATGTGTCCCAGTCTCCCTATCTAACCCCTCTAGGGACCCCGTCGTCGCACGAGCATCCACTGTCCTCCCGTGTTCGGTAGTCCCCTCTGGTTCTCTACTGTCAGGTCTCCACCTCCCCTCGTTCTCGATGAACATGGTGAACAACGCAGTTCTTCAGGTTGTCTGGGTTGATACCTTTACCCCTGGAGGGCAGCGTGTGGCGATCTGTACGTGCTCCCAGACTGGCCGTCACCTTGCTACGTTCACTCGGTAGCCTGGGTCCAGTCTGTACACCCTAACCATTGCGTCTGCACAGGTGGCTGCGTCAGGTCAGGTGGCTACGTCGCATCAGGTGTCTGCGTCTGGTTAGCTTGCGACGTCTTGCTCGTGTCGGGTAATCTCCCACCAGACTAGGTCACCACCGACTAGGTCACCCCTCTTTGCAGCATGCACTCTCGTCTCCTTGTCTCTGGTCTTCCCGGATCCCTGCCCCCCCTCCCGCACTCGCTTGCCCCACTTTGTCTTCCCTGCGTCGAGGGGCGGCAGCGCGCCACTCCTCACTCCTCCTCGTTTCCTCCGACCACTGCTCCTCTAAAGTCTCTCCTCACGGACGTGCAGGGCCCAGCCCCAGTTTGTGGGACGGACCAGGAGCGCTACTTTCTGCTAGTTGTTGACGACTACACGCACTTTACCATGGTCTTCCGCTTGCGGAGCAAGGCGGACGTCTACGGTATTCTAATCTCGTGGATCTGCACTACACGAGCGGTTTTGGCGGGACCTTCTGCACTCTGAAAGGGGCGGTGAGTTCTGTCGAGACAAGGGCATCGCCCAGTCGTTCACGCTTCTGTCCTCTCCGCAACACAATGGGATTGCTGAGCATTGCATTGGCTTGATCATGGAGGTTGCTCGTACCTCCATGATCCATGCAGCTGCTCCCCATTTTCTGTGGCCGTTTACGGTCCGATTACGCTACGCATCAGCTCAACCTCTGGCTCCGTGTCTCTGTGCCAGAGACCTTGCACACACTACTCTGGACGGGGGAGGTTGGCGATGCGTCGGCGTTTCAGGTCTGGGGCGCACTCTCCCTTGTTCGCGATACCACCGCAAGCAAGCTCTCTCCTCGCACTCTCCGCTGCGTCTTCCTTGGCTTCCTCACCGACGCCCCATCGTGGCAGTTTTACCACCCTCCCTCGCACCACGTCCTGTCCTCCCAGGACGTCACCTTTGACGAGTCGGTTTGCTTCTACCGTCTCCAACCCCACGCGTCTCACCCAGTCCCCACGCCGCCCCTCATCCAAATTCCGGTCCCCCCCCCCCTCATAGGGTCCTGCTCCCTCAGGCGTGTCTCATGTAGACCCACCCCTCTTGGTTGAGCCTTTGAAGGCCTCCTCTGACACCTCTGGCCCAGCTGAGGGGGGTGACCCCGTCGCTGACGACACAGTGGCGAGTCATCACTCTCCACGCTTTGAGACCCCTCCTAGTTTTCCGCCTCGAAATTCTTAGCCGCCTCCGCAGCCGGTAGCTGTGGACTCTGGTGTTGCTGGGGTTGGTGACACTGGGAGTGAGGACTCTGAAGGTGCTTGTCCTGGAGGTGCTGAGACTGGGGGTGAGGGTTCTGGGGGTGCTGATTCTGGGGGTGCTGACTCTGGGGGTGCTGCGAGTCCTAGTGGTGGTGGGGCCATGGATGCTCCTGCTGGAGGTCCTAGCATTGGATAGCAGCAGCCGCCTAGTCGACTCGAGACACTCTCGCCGTAGCAGCTTCGTGAGTGGATCGTTCGGCTCTGGAGCAGCTCTGGTCGCTCTGGTGCTGGAGCTTGGAGCTTTACAGGGCCGGAGCTGTGGTGCTGGAGGTACTGCTGATGCTGGAGGTGCTGGAGCTGCAAGATTTGGAGGTGCTAAAGGTACTACTGGTGTTGGACCTGCTAATTCAGGAGGTGCTTGAGCTAATGGTGCTGGAGGTGCTGGTGCTACTCATGCTGGAGCTGCTGGTGCTGGAGGTGCTAGAGCTGGAGGTGCTGGAGGTACTGGAGCTGGAAGTACTAAAAGTAGGTGCTGGAGCTGCTGGTGCTGGAGGTGCTGGAGCTGGAGGTGCTTGAGGTGTTGGTGCTGGTGACGGTACAAGTATTGCGCCGCGCCGACCGTTTTTCTACCCGCAGCCGCAGTCGTCCCTACCACCACCTGACTCGGCACTTTGTCAGGTTCGTAGTCTTTCGTTTTCCACTGGCCTTACTCTGCCTCTCCTGTGTCCTCCGCCTGACCAGTCACAGCCGTAGTTACTGCATGGCTCTTCGCTGCCTGCTCCTTCTCCTTACCCCGCACAGATAGGCTCCCTGGCAGACCGTGATGAGCCTGAATCTCATCCTACATCCCCTGTTTGCACTGTCAGTCGTGCTCGTCGTTCTCATCCTCCACCTGTCCCCGGCACGCACACTATGGCACTTCGTCCTTCCTCTGATCCACAATGTGCTCCTCTGCCGTCTCCTCCGGCGTCCTCCCTTTCTGGCGTTCCTGACCCTGAGTCCGACCTTGCTCGTGCTGCTAGTTCTACAATCACTCGTTTCCTTGCCACTGTTGACGCTGAACATTCCTTTACGTCTACTGCTGCGTTCGCCCTGGTCTCTGAGCTGGTCGACTTTGCTGCTATCTGACATCCCCACTACGTCGCGAGTCTTGTTGCTGAGTCTGAGTCTGTATGTCCTCCGTCCGTCGGGGGTGAGCTTGCCCTTGGCTGTGACGTCCTTGAGGACATGCAGTTTGAGATTGAGTGTCTCGTGGCCGCATTACCCCATTTTGCGTCCATGCTGATTGCCCCTGAGGGAGACCCGGATGCACTTGACATCCCCACACCACGCTCATACGCAGAGGCGATCATGTGTGAGTATTCCTCTGAGTGGCAGATAGCTATGGCCGAGATGGCTTCCTAGAAGTCCACAGGCACCTACGTCGACGAGGTTCCCCCTCCTGGGGCGAACATAGTCGATGGCATGTGGATTTTCAGAGTGAAGCGGCCGCCGGGTTCTCCGCCTGCCTTCAAGGCGCGTTACGTTGCTCGAAGCTTCAATCAGCGACAAGGGGTCGACTTCTTCCAGACTTTCTCCCCCACCCCGAAGATGACCACTCTTCGGATGTTACTGCACGTTGTAGCACAGCGTGAGTATAAGCTGCACTCCCTTGACTTCTCCACAGCCTGCACGAGGAGATCTGGCTGCGCTGCCCACCTGGCTTCACTGGGTCGTTTCCTGAGGGTACCTAGTGGAGCCTCCGGCGGCCTGTCTACGGAGGCGCCCCGCGAGTGGCACGACACACTGAGGACGACACTTGCGACTCTTGGGTTTGCTCCTTTGATTGCTAACCTGTCGTTGTTTCTACGCACCAACCCTTCTTTGCCACCATTCTACATCATCGTGTACGTCGACGACTTGGTCTTTGCTACTGCTAACACAGAGGCGCTGGCCCTTGTGAAGTTGGAGCTGCAGAAGAGACACACTTGGACTGACCTGGGTGAGCTGCGCATCTATCTTGGCTTGCAGATCACTTAGGACTGAGCAAGGCACACCATCACGTTGACTCAGTCACACATGGTGCAGCAGGTCCTTCAACGCTTTGGCTTCCAGTTCTTCTCGCCACAGCCCCCTCCTCTGCCTATGGGCCACTCGCTCTCAGCTCCACCTTCGAACGAGTCCGTAGAGCCGAGTGGTCCGTATCCAGAGCTTGTGGGTTGCCTCATGTACCTGATGACATGCACACGACCTGGCCTCGCGTATCCTCTCAGCCTCTTGGCTCGCTACGTGGCTTACGGTAGACAGAGAAAGGTGCACTGGGATGCTGCTAAGAGGGTACTACGCTACTTGTGCAGTACATCGGGCATGGGGCTCGTGCTTGGAGGAGGGGACTCAGTGGTACTCACAGGTCACTCAGACGCTTTCAGGGCCGACGACCAGGCGACTCAGCGGTCGTCACAGGGTTACACATTCAGTCTTGGCTCTGATCCATCTCGTGGAGGTCCACTCGTTCGTCTTTTGTGATTCGATCTAGCTGTGAGGCCGAGATCTGTTGGTTCAACCCTACGGCTTGTTGTCCGTGTGCGTGCATCCATGTATGCATGGAGTGGTATCAGGGCATGAAATAATATATATTTCATGCTTATAATAGTGTGTGCATGATGGGTCATGATGTCGAGTGTGTGTGTTGAGTCAATAGCGAGTTATCGCTAGTCGCGTGTTACGCGGTCATTCGTGTCTTGCGCACGGTTTCTGTTTTGTCGTGTGTCTCATGCGCAGTTTCTATGTTGTCCGATGTCAAACGTTCGGCGTGTCGTAGGTGTGTGCAGCAGATCCATCTCAAGGATGAGTTTTGTGATGAAGAACCCGAGCCTTGGTTTCAAGCTTCAAGTGATTTCGAAGCTGGCCAAAAGGGTACACCTCAAGATAGTGAAGATAGTTACATTACTTTGTGTAGTGTAACATTCCCTTTGGTGTAGGCCCTTGTGAAGGGTAGTTTCAAGACCCTTCTTGGTTGGGGACAGTGTGGCACTGTTCCACATCACTGTACCTCGGCTCTTCAGGTTTGTAGGAGCTGGGAGTCATTCCCAACTCGTAACTCTTCCTAGCTCTTCCTAATTGTGTGTTCTAAGACTATGTTGATGCCATAGTGCCATTCGTTCAATGTGACGCCGTGTCGTCAATTCTTAATCAAATCGTGCGATCTAAATTGCTAATTGTAGAGGACGTCAAGACGCTCCAAATCCAAGTTGAATCCGGTTATTTGGAGCTGTGACCAGATCGCTATGAACGTTTAAAGCCGCTGTGCAGAAATCCGACTGTGCACACTATCCTTGAAGCCTACTGTGACT